CCCCTACGTGCATGACTTCTGAACTGGAGTGAGAGTCTCAGAGCTCCTGTTTCCTCAGGCTGACTAGTGAGCTGTTCTCGTGCACAGCTAAGATGGATGGTTTTAGACCTCATTACATAATTTAATGCCAAATCACCAGGGAATCACTTGGCCATCTGCAGAAAACTAATGCTTTCGTCCTTTAGGCTTTTCATCAGTCTCATTCTCAGATTTCTAGTTTGCTCAGCAGTATGTACACTCCTACCTGCCTTAGTTGGGCTCTTTGGTAAATGTGCTAATATAAACAATTTCTCTTAGCTGTATAAATTACTGTTTTATCTGCAGCCTTTTGTCCTGTACTTGTGTTCATCTCTTACACTTTCCTCTAGGTGGTGGAGATACCTGGGATGGTATGTGGACTGCTTTTTGAAAGCTCCTTAGCATCTTGTCTTTTGCATATGTTTATTCACTAACAGCTAACGTTTGCTTTTTCTCTGTAACCTTTGTTTGTAGCATGAGAATGTCTTTTTAATAAACTACATACAAGGTCTGATCCTGAGCAGTGCAGAGCACCTGCAAGCTTCCATCGAGGGCTTTGTTTACTTGGCAGCTCCTCGGGATCAGGTCCTTGAACTGGCTGTGACAGTCTGTCTTCAGGTGGTTATTTGTGGCTGAGAGAAGCCTTAAAAATCAGTTTGAGGTGAAATTAAGCTAAAACACTCAACATCCAGGAACCCTGGCTATTTTAGATGGTATTTGCTCTCTGTTGCTAACGTGGGTGTTGAATAATCAAGGGCTTTTAGAATCGTTAAGCTCCTTTTAGGTTATGAATTACCAGTAATGTTTCAAGGGGAGAAACTCCATGCTTGGCATTGGCTATAAAAGAAATAAAGTACAGGATAACAACTTAAAGTTTCACTTAGAAACCACTAACCATAGCTAGGAAGGCAAAAAAACATCTTGTTTTCTCTTTTAGCAAGTAAATAACGGTGTGCATCGAGTGCTTGATACCACTTGAAAAGTAACAAAGCCTTAACTTGTTTTTTGTTAAGATTCAGTTAAATCTGAATATATCTATTGTAAATATTAATGCAGCTTTACATTTTTAAGACAAACACTGGTTTTGCATGAGTGTTTTTTTTTTGAAATGGGTTTAAACAATCCCTGTAACTGTAATTTCTTCTCTTACTAATCAGCTGCACTCATTGCAGTGCCCAATTAGCCATGAAAATAAGGGAGTTGTGATACTGGTGAAGTGAGAGTGGTGTACACAGATATTTAGACTCTAATTGTAGCTTGTATGAGTGTTATTCTCTGGTCCTCTTTGTGACTGTTCTCCCCAAGGTGTGTATTTTGAGTAGCTGTATTTTCAGATTGTGATCTCAAACAATTGAGAAATAAAAATGCCATAAGGCAGTTCCAAAGTCAAGTAGGTCCCTTCAATGGAAAAATGTGTTGGGCTTTGTGACTTTTTTTTGGAGAGCTGATTGCCCAGGGTGTGTCTGTGGAACGATACCTTCAACTTCTCTTGGTGCTAGAAAACTTTGGGAACTACTTGTGTAATTTATAAATTTGTAAGTGGTTGATTCTTTGAGCATGAAAGTATCCAAAAGCTCCTGCAACTGACGCTTAAATCACCAAATCTCAGGTCTCAAATCCTTCCATTTCCTGGAGAATCTCGAGCTAGTTTTCTGTTACTAGTTTGGGATTTGCCTCTTCTGCTTTCCCAACATACCTGAACGTGGAGCTGGTTCCTGCCCTCTGCCAGGCCCCTTTGGCCTGGGTTCTGCTGGATGCTGTGCTCCAGCCAGACCAGAAGATCACAAGATGTGAAGTACTGCTTCAGAGAGCGCTCTCCTTTTGCCAGCATCAGGATCTTAAGCTAAATTCTTGGTCTGTTTTTGCAAGCTTAACAACTAGGAAAAACTGTGACGTTAAGATAAATTGCTTGGAATGTATTGGAGGATCTTGGCAAAATAGATAGTAACATGTGGGATTGATCTCCTGTCTTCCTACACTCTATTTTTGTGGAAAAGTCTGTGCATATTGGAAATGAGTGGTCTGTACTGACTCCAAACTGGGTGTTTGCTGCCTTGTAGTCAGATGGGGAGAAAGGTGTTTCCCCACTTATTCCATACCATAGGGGTGTGTTAGGAGAAGTGGTGCTGTCCAAACTCAACTTGCCTTGGCTCTGGGGATAGAAAGGTTTCAGCTGCACAGGCTGCATTTTTCAGAACTTCTTCTGCGAGAGGAAATGAAGTATAACTCTTCACAAATTCTAACAAATTGCTTTTGTGAGTCAATAACAGACTTCCTGATGCTTCTGAAATTACTCTGCAGCTCATCAGAACAAGCTAGAAGAGATGATCAATGAGTTGGCAGTGGCCATGACAGCTGTAAAGCATGAACAGGAGTACATGGAAGTCCGTGAAAGAATACATAGAGCAAGTAAGTGTCTGTCTTCTTCTCCCCTCTCAGGTGAACTTACAAAACATGATGAACTAACTTCCATGGCTTTGTATTTTACAAGGTATCAAAAAGTAGTTTAGAACGAGTTCTGAAGGAGCTGCCCACACCGTAGGGAATGTAGTTGATGCTTGTGACCCTCTCTAAATGATTGTTATGCACAATAATCTTGGAGTAATTGCTGTAAACTCTGTAGTTCTTTGACATCTTTGTGAGGATATCAGTAGTGATCTGGATCCTGGGGACAGACTTTGGTTGAACTGTTACTTCATCCTTGAAGTAGGCGTGGCTTAATCATTGACCCAAAATCTTTTTTAAACATTTCACTGCAATATTGCAGAACTGTTATTTCCAAAGACTGTGGTGTACTCTCCAGTCACAGCCCTCACGTTCTGAAATGCAGCTTTAAACTGTGACTGAGAGTGCCAAGGGAAGCCTGGTGAGAATTAAGAGTAAATATCTTTAATGTGAAGATACAACACTATTAAAGCACTGGGCCCTCCACCTTTTGAACCTGTGAATGTTTCCATCTTTATGACTCCTGTTACTAGTGGTTTGATTTCAGAAAATGCAAAATATTTAGACCCAAAGATGATGAACTGTTAGAGATGAGAAATTCCCCACGTGACTTTGAGAGCCTAGTACACAAACATTACTTGAGAAAGGCAAGTGGCTTCTGTTTGGTGGTGCCAGGAGCCTATCTGGCCCCTGGGAAGATGGGCAGAATCAAGAGAGATGCTGCAGAGTGCATGTCCAGAGCTGAGGGTGAATCATCTGCCTGCTTAACACAACTTGAACTGTGCAGAAAAATCCCCCCCTCAGATCTCTAAGGCTGCAGAGTCCTTCTGGGTCCCTTGCAATGATGTGATCCAAATATGGGTGGTTTGTGTGCAGCACTGAGTTCCAGTGACAAGGTGTGGTTTTGGTTTGCTTAAAATGCATTGTTACTTATTTTTATTTTTTTCCCCCAACAGTTAATGACAACACAAACAGCAGAGTGGTTCTTTGGTCATTCTTTGAAGCCCTTGTACTAGTTGCCATGACACTGGGACAAATCTACTACCTGAAGAGGTTTTTTGAAGTCCGAAGGGTTGTTTAAGAGTACTTTTCCAGTCCTGGATTTCAGCTCACTGTCTACCAAACATCCTGGTCACAAAAAGAGTCCTTTAGTTTCTGAACCCTCTTTACTGAACTGTAAAACTTATTTGTCTCTATCCCTTCCTAGTTAAAAACAAATTGGTTTTATATATATCTTCTGTAGCAAAAGCTGTGCTGAAATCTTGTCACTTGATTGGCATAACTTTTTTCACTTCAATCTGCCTGGTGTGTATCTGAGGGAGGTCTGAGCAGGCTGCAGAGGCTGGAATCAGCTGTGGGAACGAGCAGTGTCAGTGTCTTTTCTAACTTCTCTCTTTTCTCCTGTCCTCCTGAGTACTTGCAGTTCTAGCCAGGGAGACGGTACGAGGCCCTGAGGTGACTGTGTGTGTCTTTGACACCTTTAACCCTGTTACAGAGTGGAAATGGTCCCTGCTTCACTTACCTAAACTGCCAAGGAGAAGCCCTTGAGCTCGATTCGGATGCTGAGTAGCAGACAGGTGACCACTTCCCACCTCCTATTCACCATATTTTACAGGAAGTCTTCAGTAACTCCTCCCCTAACGACAGCAACGGTTGCCCAAAGTTCCTCTCATTTAAATAGCAGACACAAAAGTGCATCTTTCTCCTCTCTACGAATGCTTTTAGCCTTTCACAGGTTTTATATGGAAGCCAAGTGTGTGCAGTGTCTTGGCAAGCCGTAGTTAACCCTTTGGGTTTTTCAGGCCCCAAGCCCAGGCTGTGGGCGCTTGTCCTGGGACGTGGCAGGGCTGGGGATGTCTGGGCTCCTGATGCCAAAGGGTTAATGACTCTGGGGTTCATTGCTATGCTATGCAGCCCTTGTATTTAAGTTTTAAGTTACGTGGCAGTCTCTGCCTTTATCTGAACGTGATTGGTTATCTGAACATGATTAGCATCATGCTGAACACCGGCGTGTTTTCTTTTTCAGGCACATGTAGGTTTGTTTTTGTATAAAGTTACTTTCCTCAATATCCAATGATTGGTTTAAAAATCAAAGAAGCGTCTGATGTGGGTGCTGAGCCAGGATTATGTTGTGACTGATGTATATTAGTTGTAATCATTTTGGGGGTTGGGGTGGGGTCTTTTCCAGGGGGGAGCCTCTACAAGTAAGACACAACAGTTTTGTACAATTAATTTAAAATTTGTTACAGGTTTTCATGTTCCAAGTAAAGTTTTTTCAACCTTGGGCAGATACTTGCAGCAGTTCTTCAGAAAGGTGGCTGTCACACCTTCTCACGACTGTTGTGTGCCAATATTTTTGTGTAAAACACTTAAAATTGAATTCTAAGATGTACATTTAAAAATCGCTTGTGAATCTAAATATGACCCAGGTTCGATAAATAAACAAATTCTTTAAAAAAAAAGAATGAACGTTGCGTTGTTTTCTTTGATGCTTTAAGGCAGTACAGTTTAGCAGAAAGGTGTTTCATAAGCTGTCTCTTAGGGTAAGTTTTTCCTGTGTTTTTCACAAGGTGTCTCTACACCTTGGTGATTTGCTGG